TGCTGATGAGTGAGTGAGTTTAGTTTTACGCCGCACTCAGCAATATCCTAGCTATATGGCGTGCATTATGCTGATGACTCCAGTTCAATTCCCCACATGGGTAAAATGTATGAAGTCCATTTCTGGTGTCCCCTGCAGTGATATTGCTGGAATATTGCTAAAACTTAGTAAAAGCAGCATAAAACCATACTCACACACTCATTCACGCCACGATGAATATTTAAGAGAGCTACACTGAGGCCTTGAATCGTGGCCTTCCTCAATGCATGCATACCAGTATATAGCATACGAGACTACCTCTTATATGATACAGTCCATACTTTTGGTCTGTCACACAGTTCTTGAACCTTATCTTTTCTCTTCCCTTCAGCCTCGCTATAATATTACAAATCAGATCTAGATCTTCTACAGATTCAGATCATATACCTCAGATCGTTCAAGAATATAGACACGGTTCCATGCAAATGACCCAAATTGTTGGTATGGAAGAACCCCCTAGACGGCTGACCTCATAGGTAGGTCATGGTATCCTGGGTAAGCCCAAATTATTCACCTGATTGAGCAATTATGGTCTACTGGCTATCTGTCCACAAATAACATAAGTTCCTGTCTATTATCCGAGAGCTCGCGGGGCCATGGTCCCTGGCAGTAGTGATGAATTGTTATCCCCAGTTTATCCCAGTAGTCCCATACCTGCTTCCTGTCTCAGCATAGCTGTGAGCATGTCGGGAAGTGAAGACAAATCACCAGAGTCCGTTGAACTATAATTTACAGCTATTACCGCCTCCTGATTCTCAAGAATCCAGTGATATTCTGCCAGCATGAAAAATTTAAACACTCTAATTCTGATAAATGCAATTTTGAAATATTTGCCAATTTGTATGCTTTATAAGGGATTGATTTAACCTTCAGTTCAGACTTGAGTGTATCCTTAAGAAGTGAAGTAACACGTGTGGACACCGTTAAATATCTTGATTGGCCAATCACTGGCAAATTGATCATTTGAGGGTAACGTGACGGGAAGATATTTTTTCAGTGACAATTGCAAATACTTTATTTTCAGGAAATGGTTTTATAGTTTTTTTTATATGTGGAATGTGTGCTTTTTAATTGTAATAAAAAGTTTTGTTTGTTATGATTCTTGCACTTAACTTATGAATTCTGCTTTCACCCAGTGGGAGATGTCTCCACAAATGGCAGAATACTTGTAAATGCTGGATTAAGAAATAATCAATCACTCAGCAAGTTTCATTTTATTGATTCATGGGCAAAACGTCTGACAAATTTATGATTTCCTTGTTTATGTCTTTGAGCGAAATCTAGTATTTCATCCAAAGATCTGAAACCATCCAATAGCATATCAGATACTTTTGAAAGACAATCAAGTTTTGCTCAGCTTTATGCCATATTTCGAAGTAGACAATTTTATACACAGTCCATTCTAACATGCTTTGTAGATATTGTTTCCTGGAGTCCCTGCTTGTCATTACTGGCCATCATAGTGACACAATTAATGAAGATGTGAACGTGTTATGTTCCAGTTTAATTTTTTTTTTTCAAAATCAAGTCAATTTTATTTTGAAGGAAATGATGATGGCAATTGTGAAGGTTTGAACATTAAAGTGTCAGTATTGAGCTGTGCCAAAGATGATGGAAAGTTCAGGCGTGGATTTCTCATGAGAATTGTATAACCCCAAACCCTTTTTCCAATCCAGCATCATTGTTTTCCAGATTGCTTTGTGCTGGGGAAGTAGCAGCTTGTGTATTAACAGCTGCACTACAGCTTTCTGTTTTAAACGTTTCAACCATTTTTCTTTTTATTACGCTGCATAAAAAAGAAACATTTTTTCATGAAAACAATGAAAGTTTTATTACATTGTTTGATAAGATGACAGTGGTGAGTGATAATATGGTTGAGTAATAATTAAAAAACAAATCTTCTCCAGAATCTTGTTAACATTCAAGCATATGAAAGTTTATTTCTGTGTGCTAAAACGTGCATAACGTGCATGTCATGGAAAAGTCTGCAACATGTAGGAAACAGGTGTATATTCTGAAAGAATGGAACATGATTGCAATGAAACACTGGAAGTAACTCTGTATGTACAAGGCTCGGATTCACACTGTCAGTGACCTTCATTTGTCATTTTTCACATGGATGAAATGATTTCTGGAAAACGAATAATATTTTCTTGCAGTATTGTTGAGAGTTCCTCAATAAGCTTGAACCATATATCTCAAGTTGAACGTACTTCTGTTATAAAGGTATTCATTAGAAACAAGGTGATAATTTCAGTATTCAGTTTTATAATTGTTTGTCTGTTGACCTCCAAGATCAATTATTCCATTGGGGGATTTTCCAGTGGTGTCCATTGCATATTTCTAAGAAACAGAGAGCATGCTAAAATTAAGTTGAGTGTTTGTCAGATCATTACCTCAGATGAGCACTGGTGATTGACTCTAATTTTTGTAGTGATTCACAAAACTATCGTAGTCCATGCCTTCGTTGAGAGTAATTGTAATGAACTGGGGTTGGAGATTCTTCAGAGTTTAAGTATCAGCTGGTCAACTCAACTGGTCAAAGCCATTGGCCAGGTCCTGATAAATGATAGCTGAATGATTTGTTCAATACTAACAAGGTCATATAAAGGTCATGACAACAGGCAACTGATGTGCAACTGAAATCCAGATAGGCGTACTCCAGAACGCAGTGAAGATTCATTTTGACCTGGAAAAATGCACACTAAAATGCAAAGTTGTAGATGCTAAGGATAAAAGAAGCTATTATTCCATCATGTTTTTGAATTTGTTGGAAGACAAGGGTACAGAATTTGTGGGTACATCACATCACCATTAGAAGTAGATTATTGGAAGGCTGCCCTAACATCATTGGTTCGAACACATTGCAATAATGTGTGTTTCAATCATGCACCAGCACATTTTCACTTCTTCATTTCATAATGAATTTTGAAAATACTCCCTTCTTTATGAATTGTCAGTCAAAGTTTTCAAACCACAATTACAACTTCTAATTGAAAGGCTTACTTGACATCTGCATCACCAGAAGCTAAAATTTATGGCAAATGTTTTTGTTATCATCATGTACAAATGTCATAGTTACCACCTTGTGTCTTTTGCTTTTAGCTGCCACATTGTCTTTGGTAGTACCATTTTGTCTTGGCCAATGATAAACATTGGATTTAGATTCGACTGCTCTAAATGGAGCATTTGAAACCTCAACAACACTGCACTCCTCCAAGCTCAGTTTGGTGCCATCAAGTTTACAGGTATTTGTATCTATTTAAAATTGTCAGACTGTCGGTACTTTAGTTGATGTTCTCAACCATATAGATTTATGTCTGAAACACAGTCAGAGTAATGGTAAAATGATCACTCTCATTTAATGTAACATTTTTTGTTTACATCTTCTGAATAATTTTTTGGGTTGTCATCAGATTGAAATAAAAAAACATTCATTTGACGTAAGTAGATGAATTGTGAATATTATTAACATCTGTGTGATAATACAATCAAATAAGTGTCTGACATTCCTTCAGTTGCAAAAATCAGCAAATATAAAGAAAGTGCTTGGGAGCTTAAATATCTTTTGAAATATGAAGGTTCAACAATAAAGTAAAATGTGCATGCTAACATATGTAATATTTGCTCAGATTACTACTGTTGTTGCTTAATAACAACACTAAATATCAGGTTAGTATACTAAAAGAGGAATATCAGCCTAATATGTTGCAAAATGAAACATTTTATGTTGACAGGGATAGCTATTTAGAATGTACAAACATTATCTTTTATGTTTCATGAAGAATAATCATTTTTCTTGGTTATTTTATTACCCGTTTTGTAATAAATGCTGCATTATGTTCATCTTCGAGTGCTTAACTTTTCAAAATGTAATCACATACCAACTCGTCCGATTTTGGATGATTAAATACTATGCAAAAAGGTGATTATATTTTCATCCAAACCATACTGTCAGAGTTTACTATTATTTAATACCAAGTACCACAGATATTCCTAATTGACTCAATTTCGATTGCCATATGTGAGTATGGATCTGAAATATACATTGTGGAAATGACAAGTTTTAAGGACATGCATGACATACTTACCTTTTGTGTGAACACCTAGTGTAATCACTGGTTTATAGTGGTATGTTCATGTAATTTTCAGTTATTTTCCTTCATTCTAAATGGACTCTGTTTCTGAGGACAAGACTGTGTTAATTGTTTTGCACAGAACTGTTGATGAAGGGTACACCAGAGCCTTGTTTCACAAAGCATTCATAGAGATTTTAGAGAGTATGTCAAGGAGTTACAGTAGTCCATCATTTTGTCCCAGAAATATAGTTATCCCGTGTAGAAATATACATCTACAAAGATATAATCCAAACTGGGAACAGAGCCATGCTCGACAAAATCTGAGGCAGTTTAGACTTACCAAATTTTTCTTGACAGTGTAGAATTATGTCTTTCAGTGGCATTTAGAAGTTGTACATTGATGTCCAAGATATTTTTATGGATTAAACTTCTTTTTAATTTCTCTCACGACATTTCCAGACCATTCCAGGTCCCTTCATCAGGTGAACTGGCAGTTAGGACTATGACGTCGTCACTATGAATTAAGTGTAGAATAAGTCATTATCGACATACTGTTTTCATTATGATTGTGATGTTGTTCCCAGCAGTACATCTATAAAACATGTAGACAGAGATGCCAACCCATACGATTTCATCGTATTCGTTACGAAAAAACAACACAAAATACGCAACTACGATAGCAGTAAAATGTACAATTTAAAAAAATTACATTAAATTACATTATCAAATAGCATATGTACCATATACAATAAATTTCAACCACATTTTATGCAGTATCGAGCTATATGTGGATACTTACTACTGATTTAAGGAAGTACAATGTTAATTACAAGTTCTTAGAATATCTAGATATTAAACATGAAAATTCTTTGGAATCTTGGCCACAAAATACTAATTTTTGCATCAGTTTTTGGCCAAAATACTAACTGGGCTAAATTAGGGTTGGCATCTCTGTGTAGACCATGCTGACACTAACGTATGTTGTAGTCCTTAGCATGTTTAGCATGTTGTGAAAATAGTGACAGAAATGTTGGTGATACTGCTATTGTTATGTTTCATCATAATAGTTATTCTACAACCAAAACATAAAAGAAGCATTGCTTACACTATCCTTAATCCTGTTAGTGGTCAATTAACTTTGAATGGTGGGTTTTCCATTAATGAATTTATTCATGCTAATGAAGATTTCTCAACAAGGTTCATTGATATTTGGAGAGCATGCAAATGTTTGACTGTGTCATCCTATTTTCCACATTGAATGTCACAATCTTTGTCCGCATCCTGTGGAAAATGATTTCCCACAAACACTGAAGTCAGCAAGTTCATAATCCACAAAAGTGGTCTTCAGATTGCCTCTTTAATTACATTTCACATTCCTTCTTTAACAAGACAGAACCTGCAGCCTCCTCACCAGCTATGTTACACTGGCCAGGATGTCCTCACACTCTGGAAAATGTGCTTGCTTTTATAAAAAAAGACAAACAAATGACACACTATATTCCTTTGAGCAAACAGTAATGAAAATGGATCTTCACTTGCCACCTTGAAATCATTTGTTAGTATGGGGTGGTGTGTCGGTCCATTTCAATCCGGGGACTTTGTTGCAGGTTTGTCTTCTTGGTTGGTGGAGCTAAGGAATAGCCATTTGTATGATCGACACGACCAAATCCATTCTGATGCCCAACCATTCGTCCAAGTTCTTTTCTGAAGTTGTCATTAAGCCAACCGTAAAGGAAGGGGTTTATGCATGAGGAACTCATGGCAAATATTTTCAGTAACAGGTCAATGAGTTTAAAATACTTCCCACGAACAACACTATGATGGAACTCTGCTGTCAGGCTGAATATATTCCATGGAAGCCAGCACAGAGTGAATGTTAAAACCACAGCAATTAATATCTTGGTTGTTCTTTGGTTTCGTCTGGTTTCATTCTTTTTTGATCGGCCTGTTCTTTAACACTGCACAAATATGAGTATAGAAGAAGGTCGTTAACATGAGTGGAATGCAGAACTGCAGCACAAACACTGTAACAGCATATGCCCGTTTACTTTTGTACGAAGGCCAGTTTTCGACACAGTACACTTGATACAGTTTAAACAAGGGCTCATCAATGATCTCCACACGAGTGTACACCATGAGAGGTATGGCCAAACCTGTTGTTACACAACCAATAAGAACAACAACACCCAGCGCAAACACATTGGTCATCCTCTGTCTGAAGGGAAACACAATGAGGATGTACCGGTCAACAGCTATGCTTAGAATGGACAGAGAGGAGACAAAAATAGGCACTCCAAAAGTGGGCATGGTAATGTGACATAGAATAGAACCAAATGTCCATGTGTCTGTCAGCTGGTAGTGAAGCTGAAAGGGAAGGTTAAACACACACAGAGCAATGTCCGCCACAGCCAGGTTGGCAATGAAGATGTTGGTCACTGTATGCAGCTGCTTGTATTTTGCTATCACTATCACCACCACCAGGTTGCCCAAGAACCCGAACACGATGACAACTACATAGAGGATGATGACCACCACTTGCCATCGCTTGTCCTTCAGGATGTCCCAGTCAGTCTGCTTGATGTCTTGGGAGAAGTTGGAGTACAGCTCAAACTGCTGCGCAATCTCCTCTGAGGACATGTTCTCAAAGTCCATATTTAACAGAATATCTTCCATATCCATCTTGAATTTAAATGCAACACACAGGAGTAACCATGGGTTCTGTAGTATATATATATTTATGTTTCAAAATATTGGCTGTTATTGTTTCATCCTCATTTCCCTTTTAACCTTGATCTCTTTTTGGTGTCATTTCATTGGTGATAATTGAATAAAAGTTTCATTATTCACATCACATTTAAGACGTAATCATTTTCAAGCAGCTAAGCTTTTTTCCATGTAGAATCTTGATGGAAATGAAGTTTTTAATGACAAGTTTACAAGAGAGCAATAACGTCTCAAGTTGATTACAACCCTTTAACACAATGTTGGATGCTGTATGGTGGTAAGATTGAATCAACACTTAATGCTTCTTGAAAAATCCTCCTAGAATGTCAATTAGATGAGGTCAACTTGTGGCATCACACAAAAGCTGTGACGAAGAACATAAGAGTTCCATAACATGTCCTGAAGAGCACTTCATTCAAGACCTGTATATGCACAGTTTGGGACTGAAGAACCTCATCACCTTCGTTTGGTGTTACCAAAGTGAATTCAACAGTCCATTACCTTGAGACAATTTCAATTAGTGCAATGTATGTAGGGTTGCACTTAATGTATTGTTGGGTCTGCAGCACTGTTTAATTTAGTGCTTAAACCCTTCTTCTGGTAAAATAACTTCAATTTTTATAGTTGAGATCTCAAACTTTCTGTGTGATAAACTTGCTGGATTTCACAATATTGACTTGCCACACTTGTGTTACACTCAGCTTCAGTGGATAACCGGCTTCAAGATGAAGTGCAGTGGTGGGAAATGAGTGAATGTGGACAAACCTCTAAAACACATCAAACATTATTGGTGTGGTGGAATCCTCTGGCAGCAGATAAACCTCTCATCCTCTCACTCTCCCTTTGACTTGTGCCAATTTTCATATTTTCCCACGAGGACTTTTTAAGCTGGTTCGTTCTTTCTCAGTTCTCAACACACTTTGAGTATGATTTTTTTACACTGTTTATTCAAAAATGTCTCTAAAGTTTTCAGCCGTTGATTCAAATCTCCAGAGAAATGAAACTTTCTTAATTCTTTTGCAGCAAAAAATTCGGTACACACACATTTGAGACTGTAAGAATTGTCTAATATTGTTTCAGTCCACGGAATTGGCGCCAGATAGCTAAAAATATTGCCAATCAAGACACCCTAGCATGTGCTGGATTCCTGTAATTGAGATCACATTGTTTGAGTCTCTTCTCTGGAGGAATGCTGGCCGAGAACCCCGTGGCTTTCTCCAAGGTCAAGGTCACAGAGTTAATGGTGGCTGTGTATTGTGAATTAACTTGAATAACCTGGTCATGTTCACCTTTTCAAAGCTCTTATGATAACTGCTGATGAAACATTTCCCTCATATGTTGTCTCCCAGTATCCCAGCAACCAGAGAGATGGTGGCTTCATGGTTGCAGAAGCATTCTGCAGGACTTGTAATCATTCTGTCAACATAAAAATATGGAATTAACATTTAAGTGTTAGAAGTGAATTGAAGAATTACTTTGAAATATACATCAAAAGTGGGACAAAAGTGTTTTGTTTTCAAAGCACAATTTTATGTCTTTCTGTTTTGGGCCCTTTGTTTACATTTAGATGTCTGGAAAAAGGAAATTTTGTTCAATATATGTTCAAGATCCTCAGGTCTTCAATTCATAATGGTTTTCTTCTTTCCTTATTGTGACACATTGATGTAATTTTGTGTCTCTTTCTAGATCTTTTCAGGAGATAATGTCTAATGGTTTCAGTGTTTTGTCTTTATGAAGAATTTTTGTCTAAAAATATCAATCTTCATGATGTGAGGTGTGTGAAGAATTGATTTGGTTTTTTAAAAGTGACAGTTGGTTTTAATTGTCACATCAAGATGACAAACCGTCATGTCTTAAATCCTGTCCAAGGCAGCATCAGGCCAAACTCACTCAGTCAGTGATCCTCTTATTCATTTGTACCCTCGATCTCACTCAAACGTGATAATTCTCCAGTTGGTACTTTTTTCCTGTGTTTTATAAGCTGAGATAAGTTTAACTATATTATTCTGTTTAGGAATATGAACTAAAGATTTAAAAGGTCCAAGAAAGAAAGATGCAGATTGCCTACATATAAAGTAGTGTTGTTGTAGTTTCTTGCTGTTACTGATCATGTCAGTGTATCATCATCAACACGTGAAATTAATTTGTGCATGATCTTGAACACTTGCTGTGAATGGATGTGTGATTGTCAACACATGTAGCAAATATAGAATAAATTTAATGGATAACAACTTCTTCTATATTATACATCTCAACTTCTAAAATGCCACTTAACTTGTAGCAAATGCTTGCATTCTCAACACTCACAGTGAATGCTTGTACAATCAACACTTTCAGTGAATGCTTGTATCATCAACACTTCAGTGAATGTTTGTACGATCAACGCTTTCAGTAAATGCTTGTACAATCAACACTTTCAGTGAATGCTTGTACGATCAACGCTTTCAGTGAATGCTTGTACGATCAACGCTTTCAGTGAACGCTTGTACGATCAACGCTTTCAGTGAACGCTTGTACGATCAACGCTTTCAGTGAACGCTTGTACGATCAACGCTTTCAGTGAACGCTTGCTAATGCGATCAACGCTTTCAGTGAACGCTTGTACGATCAACGCTTTCAGTGAACGCTTGTACGATCAACGCTTTCAGTGAACGCTTGTACGATCAACGCTTTCAGTGAACGCTTGTACGATCAACTCTTTCAGTGAACGCTTGTACGATCAACACTTTCAGTGAACGCTTGTACGATCAACACTTTCAGTGAACGCTTGTACGATCAACTCTTTCAGTGAATGCTTGTACGATCAACTCTTTCAGTGAACGCTTGTACGATCTACTCTTTCAGTGAATGCTTGTACGATCAACACTTTCAGTGAATGCTTGTATCATCAACACTTTAGGTGAATTCCCCCGTATGATCCTCAACACTTTAGTGAATGCTTGTATGGTCAACAGCTTTGACATTTAAAATGCTCCACTAATGCTTCTAATTTGATGGTTTCATGACAGCCTTCTAACATTAGCAGAAACATTAAGCTGAGATTAAAAACCATTGATGGAAAAGAAAGTTTGAAATGTAACACTGACTGACCTGTTACTGGCAAACCTAGTTTCCTGTTCAGTTAGATTTGTTTCCATATTGCTGAATAATCATGTTTCTTCTAAGTACTGTTATGGAGCAAGTCCCTTGAACACAATGACTACTCTGTGAAGGATGGGAACCTGGTCATCTATTAGGTCAACAGTTCACACGATGAGCGATTTCACTGCTTGGACTGGGCAAACAGTCATTAACAGGAAGAGAGATCCACATCAATATCCTATCAGAAGTCAGTGTTACATCAAACAAATCTTTATCATATAGATTTTTGCAAAGGGCATATTTGAATTCAACATTTATTTTACAATAATTGAAGTCAAGATCAATTCCATATTACATGAGCATGTAAATGTGTTTTAGCAATATCACAGCTACATCATGGCAACTGAGATAACAGACTCACAATCAAATAAACCACTGATTGATAGGATGGGCAACAATTGTGTGGGTAGGATCATACACAGTCAGCCAAGTGGTACATGTGACAATATATCAGTATCTTATGTCAAACTTTAGGTGGTGGTGACATGTTCTGATCTGGCTAGCTATTCTCGAAACATTTTGTAGCCCTACGGACTTCTTAAGCCCATTTTTAACACATTGGCTATGATCATAGTTAAGAATCCTTAGGGCTACGAACATTTCAAGAATAAGGGCCCTGGACTCCTACAGGTCCAAACATATGATAAGGTGGTTCAACATAACATCTCTAAATTGAATGATGATTTTGATTTAATGATCAAGTTAGGATACCAGGAATATGTCCATGAACAAAGACTAACGCACATCAAAGATACATCATGTTGGTGTTGTACAGTATTTGCAAGTTTTCTTTTTAATTGTGTCATGGTGAAAGTCATCTATAACTGGTTGAATATTTGACAATAAAGGTAGCATGGACTCCAGGGCACCACATTTCACTGTGCAGAGCTTAAAGCATGCCAGATGATTGGTTTAAATCTTGCTAACCCTGAATATGTTTCTTGCGGGCTTTGCCAAAGCCGTAAACATTTAAAGAAGTTGGTATCCCGAAAAGTTTCACATTTATTTCTGTTATACATTAAGAGCGTTTGAGTGATTGCTTTATGTACACTTTATCTGAACCCGATTCTTTTTATGATAGATAACCCCGAAAAATCCGTTGGTGACTACTATTTGACTGTGTTGTTATAGATGTATGTCAACAGACCGGACAAAAACATCAGTACATTCATATCTCAATATACACCAGGTGCTGCATAGACCTCAGTTCTTCACACAAGGTTGTTTGTGATTATTATTCTCAACAATGTCTGAGTAAAAGCATGAAGTACACATACAGTAAACTACAGTTATGACAATGCATTTCTAGAAATGTTCGTTATGTGCATTTCTACTAATGTATACAGCACATCGCCAGAAATACCGTTCATTATAAGTATGATCGTTACAGACAGTTTACTGAACAATAGGGATGGTGACATGAAGTAAACAATCATTACCGCATTTATTATTCATACATCCTGACAAAGGATGGACTAAAATACATCAATACCTTCCATTATTTGTTTTCTCCTTTTGCCAGGGCGATCATGAAGAGTCTCATTCATGTCCTTGCTTAATGCATGATTTATGGAGACCAAAGCATATTTGTACAGCTCCTTAGTTCTCACTAATTGTGATGAGAATAGGATCAGAACTGTTGTCCCATCAGGGTTGCTATTTATTGAAGTCTATCATAGAAACAATGAAGTCATGTCTTCAAATTAATTCAATGTAACATTCTTTCTCCTGTGTTTCCTATATAAAATCACTTGCAACAATGGGGTTTGATTACAAGAATAACATGGCCATTTTTCATGTGATTACCAGAAATATGCCACCATTATCAAGAATTCTTTATTAGTAATGGAATATTTTACTTTAATGGGATCAAACATAAATTTCCTTTTAACTTCATTGTTAAGGTTGCAATAGGCTGTAAAATTGTTGCTGCATTTTCTTAAAAGGTATTGAGTCACTAATATATTATGTACACATGCAATTAAACAAATAGGCTTTTTTTCATGACTATTACACTGGAAAATTGGCAAATTAACAGAAACTTTCATGACCAAATTGTCGTTCATTAGGATGTGAAAGTAGCTCTCACAGCTGATCACCTTGTGACAATATAATTGTGCTCTTTAAGTTGAAGTAGAAATGCCAATAGGTCACACCTTTCTAATTTGTTTCCCTCTTGGTGAACTTCATGCAAATTGAGAACAACAAGTTGCAGTATTTCTTTCATTTGCTGCAGAGTTGCTTAGGAAATAATTACCCCTTTTAGCAATATTTTCTTTTTCTGACATTATAAAGACAAATCCAATGATCCTTCAATATTCTTTGAAATATTTTAGGTAGAGAATCAGTGTTTCCATTCAATCTGATTGCCTTGTAAAGATATATAGCTATAGGACAAAATTATCAACAAAAACAGATTTTTTTAGTCGCTTTTTTGAATATTCAGTCAAGTGATGCATCAATGAATTAGAAAGGAATTGTTGTTCGTTAAGAATGATGAAATGTACACTCAACATTGACTTTTTGCAAATGGAAGTGCAAAAGCGAAATAGAATTTTCCGCAATTGTCAGAGAAATCAATTTCTGCAGATGCCAATGGTGTCAATGTAGAAATTCTCACAGCTTGTCACAGCAGTGGGTAGCGATTCAAAGGAATCTAGCCATTAAGTAAATGATCTGAAGGTATGCATGTCTTCGTCAACAGAGTCGCAATTTTCTGTTCGAGGAAGCAAAACAAGTCCTTTTACATATAACGGAAACAGAATTGTTCACCTACCTAATCGTCAGGCTTAAGTAATCCTTATCTTTTTTTAAGTGCAGGCAAGCAAGTCAGACGAAGTCCTGTTGCCTATCAATTTGTTTTGCTAGTGACTGAGATGAGATTGGTCAGTCTGAATCAATACATGCTGGTCACTGCATTGTCTGGCGTCGTCCATGGTCACTCCTTCCACATGTCCACTCTTCTAGACAGGCATGTTCTGTCTTAATCACTGGTGCTAGGGCAGTTCTCAATTACTGGACATGTAAGGCCAGTGCTGCATCGCATGGCTCCTGATCTTATTAGATAGGCAGCCATTGCTTCTCAATGAGATTTCATATGGCTGTGTCTTCATTTACAAGTCGCAAATAGAGAGAATGGATAATAAATTGGCTTTTTATTCAGAGCTTTTATTTGAGATGTTGTGGGAAAAATGAACAAGTTAATCATTATATTGACTGGCTTAAAGTATTGTCATCATTGGAAAGATGCTTGTTTTACCACTTTATGATGGGGT